GGAAGGACTGCTCGGACGGATCCGACGAACTGGACTGCCGTGAGTCCGCACATGAGTCATTAATTCTCGGTGGGTATTATGCACGGTGATTACGTGAGGGCGGGTGTAATTGCAGCAGATACAGGGGTGTCGTGCGGACAACAGGAATTTACTTGTTCCGATCGGGTTTGCATCCCGTTGACCCAGAGATGCGATGGGAAAAGCGATTGCAACGACGGATCTGACGAAGTTGGATGCCCTCAGGGTAAGGACACTACCGGATTCCCGTAATTCCACCCAATAGGAAACTCAAACGCATAAATTTATAACTTTCGGGAAAATATCATTTCGATATTGGAAGGTTGTCAAAATTCAGAGAAAGTACGAATGATCGAATTGGAAAGTAATTATATTTGAAGTAATTTTACTGTAAGAAGCACAGGGTTACTTAGTTGACAGTTTGAGTTCTACATGTCGTGTTGACGTCGTATTCTGGAATGGGTGCACGTGTACATTGCTAGTCTTTGTACAATACGTATGTAGGATGCACCGCGGAACAATTCCGATGCGATACGGGGGACTGTATCCTGATTAGATTCAAGTGCGACTCCTACAATGATTGCCCCGATGGCTCCGACGAAAGAGGATGCCGTAAGAGTGGCTTGATTTTTTTGTTCTTGGTACAATGGGTTGTAGCTAGTGCATGTGAATTGCGTTGTAAATAGCATGCCGGGAGGATCAGTTCAAGTGCAAGAACGGGAAGTGCATCGATTTGAGTCTGAGGTGCAATTCGGTCATCAACTGCATCGACGGATCCGACGAACTCGGATGCCGTAAGTTCCAAGTCGATTTTTGCCTTCTCGGTCCGTCGTCGGACTCTCGGCTGAATGCGAGGAACTCGATGATGCAGCGTGTGCGGAGGGGAAGTTCACGTGCGGGAACGGGGCGTGCATCGACGCGGATCGGCGCTGCGACACCGTCGAGGACTGCGAGGACGGGTCCGACGAGGTCGATTGTAAAGTCGGTGAGTTCTGGGTTTTTTTGCGGAGGGGAAGTTCACGTGCGGGAACGGGGCGTGCATCGACGCGGATCGGCGCTGCGACACCGTCGAGGACTGCGAGGACGGGTCCGACGAGGTCGATTGTAAAGTCGGTGAGTTCTGAGTTTTTTGCATGCCGTGTTTTTGGCTCTAGTTTTCGTAACATGCATGCTAACGTTGCGGGAAATGTTTGTTAGCGTGTGGGGTGGGTCAGTTCGTGTGCGACGTTAATCGCTGCATCGATGGCGAACGTCGCTGCGACCGCGTCTACGACTGTCAGGACCGGACCGACGAGGACTTCTGTCGTAAGAACCTCTCTTCCTCTGAGATTCCGTTGAGCCTTTGTCATAAAGTAACCGACTAACCGACTACCATAACTAAGCAACCATAACTAAGTAATTAAGTAATTATATTTCAGAATCAGTTAACTAGAAACCAGCTGAAAGTAGTTTCCGAGTGAAGGTAACTATCTTCTTCCAGATTCTGCCAGAATGAATGTATTAAGTGTGACTCATGACAATTTTGCCTTGAAACATTCTTCTAAAATGGCCAATACATATGAGAGGTAAAAAAAAAGGAAATATAAGAAAGGGGAGACACAAACATCTTGTTCCTTTTTTTAAATAAGGCCAAAATAAAATAAAATTTTAAAGCAGTTTAGCTGAAGTCAGCTAAGCGTCCTGAAACGTAATTGCGACTACTTCTTAACTGGTTTCGGGCAAGAATAGTTGTGACCAGTGACATGAAGTTTAATTAATCAGTGTCCATTGGATGCTTCTACGGGGCGTTTCATTTAAATTGTACATCTTTGAACGCTCATATCTCTGAGAGGACGCAACTGTTCTTTACGAAATTTGACCACAATATAGAGCAACATTTGCCAAATTATTGGACAGAGTTTCTTAATCGCAGCGCCATCTATTGAGTTGAAACACCGATTCTGACAAAACCTCTGAAACCAAGATCTTATCAACTTGATGAAATCTTTTAAAGCTCATCATTCGTTAGATAATGCCTTGATCCAGTGGTGCTGAAAATTTCATGATTGTATCTCATCTCCTTACTAAGATATCAATCGTCAAACCTTAGCCACTTAACCCATCCGCTTACACTTAATACTCTCAATGCCATGGATTTTTCCGATGTTTTGGCCTGAGCCCCTGTTACCATCGCCCTGACGCATGAG